AAATAACCTGCTGAAAAATCATTGATATATAACTCAAAGTGTAAGTTAACTTTTTATTTATGAACACCTTTTTATTTATGAATATATTGAGTTAAAGCTCAGAAATAAGCTGGACCAGTGGCTGATAATGCCAATTCGTCAAAAAGAGAGTTAAAATTCTGGTGCGGGAGAGAAGTATTTTTTTAAATTCAATAATAGAAGGCAATACTGCTTATGAAATGTTCTTCTAGGGTACCCACTCTTAATCAAGAGAAGTAGGAATTTCTGGTCATTGATGCCTATAATGTTAGTTGCTTGTGTATAGGAAAGTTATTCTTTCAGATACGACGTCTTTTGGAAATATGTGAACCAAATNCATGATGCTGTAGATGTAGATAAACAAATTATCGGCTATTCATAATTGTTCTAACTTGCTTTAATTATTACAGAAGCTGTTGAAGATAGTGACATTGATGAGGACAAATCCACGGAATGGAAATACCGACGATGACGATGGAAATAATTGAATTTTTTTTTAAATTTAACAATACATGTTTGGAACTTTATTTTTTTACTTTGTTTTGTAATGGCTATAATTAAACGTATAATTTATTTCATTTTCCATTGATTTCATTACGATCTAAATTATTTTCTCTCCTTATAGTAAAACCAACATACATAATAATTTATCTCCTTAACTTTAAACTTCTAGAATTTTATCATCGACTGCCGATTTTTCTTATTATTTTCTGCACAATACTTAAAGATATTTTTTTACAACTTTCTTAAATCACAACTTGATTCCATAAAATTCACTTGAAAAATTCAAATTTTAGTTGAATACAAAATTTAATGATAATTTGCAAAAGTTAATAGCGTAATGAATCGCATTATTATATTGTTGATTTCATAATTTGTTGATATGAAAATTATTTTACATTATTTNTTTTCTTTTTTCTTCATTATGATTTCCTACCACGTAGTAACGGCTACATCCATCAATTTATTGAAAAATTAATACATTTTTCCAAAATTTTTGTGTTTTGGATTCATTTTTCGCCAGGGGTTTCAGTTTTATCTTTCATCAATGAAACTAATTTCCTCATTGCATGTAAAAATCTTATAAATGTGAAAAAATATCTTTAGGGAGTTTTGGAAATTGTAACTCGTTTTCAGAGTATACCCTATAGTTGAGTCAGAAACAAAATTTAGTAAACATACCTTTTTCCTCTACAGACTTTGGCTTTCTCAGCGGTAGTGTTACGGTCGTCGTGTCCGCCGTTTCGGGAGGCGCAGAAGACGGTCTTTGGACTAGGTTCCCGGTGTTCGTTCTTCTAATGAATGAAGGTGTACTAGGCTGTTCGGCTGGTTTAGTTGCATCCTCCAATTTGAACTGAAGAAAAAAATTACAATAATAGAGCAGTTTACCTGTAACCAAAATGAAATTACACCTATGCAGTAACATCCAGACTGGACAAGGCGGTAAATGAAGATGGGCAACTTTATAGGTCTGAAGATAATCTTTCAAATCTCAACCGGAGGTAAAGTGTCTGGAAACCCAAAACCCCACTACTTAGACATTTTGGGCGCGCAGTTGTTATGTAACAGTCGTTTGAGTAAGTTGATGTGTTTTAATGTAATTAAATATTTGTTTTTGAAAGCAACACACCTACGCAAATCAAAGATGAGTTGGATTCTGTGTATTGGGACCCTGCACGATCATTTACCACAGTGTAATTTTGGGCAGCTGAATTTAAAAGTGATCGTAAAAGCTTGAAAGACGATAAACATTCGAGACGACCAAAAACTGCAACTACCGACAAAAACACCGCCAAAGTTTACCAAAAGGTGCCAAACGATCGCCGAATTAAAGTGAACATGTCAAAAGAACCTGTTTGTCACATATTAAATCAACGTTTAGGTATGAAAAAGTTGTCCGCGCGTTGGGTGTCGCGCAGGTTAGATCAAAAACATGTTCGAATGAACATTTCCAACGTTCTGTTGGCGCAGTTTAGCCGCAATAAATCCGTGTTTTGGCGGTGATAAATTTATATCGGCAGGTGTAGGCCAAGACCCGCCGAACACACACTCTCTTATTGACATAACTCCGGACACTCGCATAGGACATGCCTGGCAGTTTCATCTTCCTGGTCACACATCTTGCATAGAGGTGTGTCCACTAATCCCATATTATGGAGGTGTTTCCTCAGTTGACAGTGGCCAGACAGAAATCCTACTGTTAAGCGATTTTTCTTGGTCATCGCTAGATATTTCTTCGGCGCCAGCTTCTCAGGGTCGCCCAGGGTGATCCTGGCAAAATTGCATCTTTTGATTTCATCCCATCTCTTTAGGGATTGAGCATAGGTGTAATGTTTGGCTAGTTCAGCAATTATCGAAGTCATCAGGCCGTAGATGCCACTGGGTCCTAAAATTCTCAGTCCAGTCGCTTCCTTGGCTAAAGAGTCGGCAATGCGATTACCTTTACTTCTGTCGTGTCCTTAAATCCACCTCAGGATAATGTTATTATCTACCGAGGCTTTGGCTAAATCTTGGTGGCACTCTAGTACTAGCCCCGAGGTAACACATCTGTTATAGGCTAATAGGGCTTGTCTGCTACCAGTGCAGATTGTTATTTTTTTTACCAGAAATTCCTTTCCTGGTTATTTCTTTTGTGGCACACGTTAAAAGGTAAGACCTCGTTAATCCTTAGCTCCCACAAGTTTGTCAACTTCTGAGAGTTGTCGTTCGTATGGGGGCGACAGCTGATTTACGGAAAAACAGATTTAAACACCATTATAGCCCGAAACAAATATACAGTCCAAACAGTGAGACTGCAAAGAGGGAACTGGCTGCAAAAAAAAGCAAAAACTGTTTTTTCGGCTGGGAAAGTTATTGTAGGCTGTACTATCATCTTCATGGCTCTTTTGAAACTGAACGTTTTATCTTCTCGTTTGTTTTTTTATACAGTTAGAATGCCTAATGTAACCCAAATACAGGCAAATTTAAAGAGACATCCAGGTGAGAACAAATACCTACACTAAGGCGTTCTAATCGTATAAAAGAACAAACAAGAAGATAAAACGTTCAGTTTGAGTAGAGCCATGAAGATGACAGTACAGCCTGCTCTTGTGCTATTGAAAGCGCTCGCATATAATAAGTAGAAGTTATTAAAGCTTCAAATTCTTTTTGTAGACAAATTTTAATATTAAAATACTGAAAATAAAGGAAAATTAGTTGCATCATCTAGATGGCAAATGAGATTTTGCCGAAATGTCATGAAAATAACCCAGTTAGCACCAAAACATGGAACACTGATCAAAACCTGAAAACAGTTCATCATACTCTGTTCGTTAGAATCTTAAGAGTTAACAGTCCACAACACACAAACACAATCCAAACTTGAAAACAAAAATTGGAAAAAACTAAAAAGTTTGAAGTTTCAGTTATAAACAAAACACAATTTCAAATTCAACAGTCTTCTCAGCATGAATTGAAATAGATAATAAATCATCATAATCATCATGCCTGCTCATTGTGATACAAACGTATTTTTATAATGGTTACCTTTTTGCAATAGAATATTTTCAATTACTTCATTTGATGAGTCTTTTAAATAATTTCAATCATACACTGCAGACATAAATAGTCCCTCCCCCCTCAACGATTGTCGAAAATTTAAACGAAATGAAATTAATCAAATTCTCAGTATCGATAATAACAGCTGACAAGCTAACACAATACTCTCTATTACTAGGGTAAAACGGTATGGATTCTTATCTACATAGTTGAACACAAAAACATCCTAAATCGGACTGAACACAGAAATGTGTTTTTTTGTCAAATACTTTCAATTTCGTGAACAATTTCTTTCTCTTACACATTACAAACTGTGTGTAGTCTGTAATAACTAACTTCGTAACTGTTTCAATCCTCTTTTGGTTCCAAAGTTACAAATTATCATTATTTTCTTGTCTCTAATTCATACACAAATAATTCTGCAACCAGTTATCCAAATTGAAGGCAGTATTTGAAAAAAAAGTTGTGGCATCCTCTCTGCAGTGAGTGATGTCACGCCATTGTCTTTTATTATTAAAAAATTCTTAAAATGGTTCCTTTTCATACAAACTTTGTCAGACTGCCACGTTTGAAAGTTAGGGAGAGGAAGACTACTTACGTTTGCACTGTATATAGTTTCCTAAATAGCTAAATAGTTGACATCAACTTGTGATGCACTGTTTGGAACCTTTGGTGTAGTAATGAATATTACTGGAGTTTATTCCCAACACCAAACCGTTATTTTTAACACTTCGACACGTGTTTCAAGCACCAAATGATCATCTTCAAGAGGAAGATGATCACTTGGTGATTGAAACACGTGTCGAGGTGTTAAAAATAACGGTAACACCAAACCGTTATTTTTTAACACCTCAACACGTGTTTCAAGCACCAAGTGATCTACTTGGTGTAGTCATTAATATTACTGTAGTTCATTCCCAACACTAAAACGTTATTTTTAACACCTTGACACGTGTTTCAAGCATCTTCAAGAGTAAGATGATCACTTGGTGCTTGAAATATGTGCCGAGGTGTTAAAAATAACGGTTTGGTGTTGGGAATAAACTTCAGTAATATTCAATTGATATCAAAGCAAAACTTCAGTGATGTGCTAGATCCTGAATTAAATATTTTTGCTGAGAACTCTTTTAAAGTGCCATGAAATAAATGACACAAAACTGATTTGTAATTCTCTATCTTGATTGGTCAATAGCATCAGCAATCATAAACTTTGAGTTTGGTATACATTTTCTGTTGCCTTGTGAAACATTAAGTATTTCAATGGAATAATGGAATAAAAAAAATGCAATGTTCACCAAAGCTTTGGACAATAAAGCTTTTGACAATAAAGCATATTTATTATTAATATTATTATCATTATTACAGTTAATACATCATTCATCCAAATTTCCAACCACATGTCATGAAGACTATCGAAGTTTGTAAAGTTTCGTCAAAAATGTGCCTTACGTCAAACAGTCTGGTCTTACCTTGCTCGAGCCGTCCACCTTCAGTCTCCAAGAAGGTCTGCGTTCATGCACGACAGGTGGCTCTTCATTTTCGCGAGTTATAACCGTAGGCGTCCCTGTTGTTATTGTAGCAGTAACGACCACTCCATTAGGCGAATCACCATTAGAACCCGGCTGTTAGTGCAAAAATAAGTGATGATATGATTGAGGGAGTTTAGTGATATATTTTTTTCAAAGGTAGTGAGAAACTGGTGGGTTGAACTTAGATAGAGGAATGTTTTAACAAAATCTTCAGTAACAAACAATTTTGACTGTCAAGAATCTTCAATGTTGTTATTAATTACCACTTTGATTTTTTCACGATTTTTCATATAAATGCACTCTTGTCCGTTAGAAATAACAAACAGGTACTCTCCAGGGAAAATATTTTAAATCATTTTCAAGTTTTGGGACCATCCTTAAATTACGTCACACGTTACATTGTGTGACAAGGGAATGGGTAGGGGTTCTAAATTTTTTGACGTCACATTTCAAAACCTATTAATTTATTTTCGGCAATGCTTATTGTATG